GAGGCACCCTGGCCGCTCTGGTGAAGGGAGAGAGACGCAGGCCCCACCAGGGAGGGGGTATTTGGTGTGAACCCTGAGGGAGGGAGCGAAACCCACAGGCGCGAAGAGAGCGAGGAGGAGGGCATCAGGCAGAGAGCATCATGACTAAAAGCTCAGAGGTGGGAAACCTGGAGGAGTTCAAAGAACAGCCTGTGTTAGGTAGAGCTGCAGAGCAAACCAAGTGAGAACGGCCTCCTCAGGTGTCTGCACACTCAGTCACACGTAAGTTTTTGCCTCTTGGTCATTTGACTCCGGACCAAATGCAATTTGAGGTTTGTTGTTCTGGAAACTTATTAGGAAAATAAATTAATGCCTTACAAAACTTCCATTGGCAGAAGATGACCTAAATCTTGCAGTCGAGAAAACAGGGGTATCAGGTCTGTCTGTAAGGGGGTTAATGGGCAGTCAGGGTCCTTGGACATCGGAGCCCAAAGGTTTTCCGAGGGAAGAAGGGTTGGGTTCTGAGCTGAGAGAGATGAATTTGACGCAGTGTGTCAGAAGCATGAGGAAAGGAAGACAGGCCTCTGCAAATTATTATAAGGAAGGCGAGTGGCTATTAGTGCCAATGGTGATGGCTAAGATGAGCTGCTCACTTGGGGCGTCGTAAGTAATGCGGGGGTTTTACACTTTGTGACCATCGCAGAGTCTGGGGGTTTGACTTAGGAAAAGGAATGTGGTATATGATTTTTGAGAAGCGCTTCTTTTAATTAAGCCTTCCTTGGTCCGGTATGAAAATTAGACTTTGCTGTGTCCTGAGTACACGCAAATAGACCTGCAAAGGGGAGACAGGGGTGTGCCGTGGACGGGGATGCCAGCTAGGATTAAAGCACCGCCGTGAGTACCGTGGTCCTTCTTGTACTTAAAACAACCGCCTTTTGTTTTTGTTAGCACTTAGGATGCTTGTGTCAGAATCCTTTCAAATAATTGCCCAGGTTTCTCTATTCTCCTCAGAGGAAGATTTCATTATTCAGGTAAAAGCACCCATGAGCATTTTCTAAGGATCGTTTTTTGCCAACAAGGGACATTTCACGCTAAGGTAGACGTTTTAAAAGATCTTGATGTCTCTGAATATTTTTTTTACTGGGGCAGTCAAGTGATTACATTTCTTTCTTTTTCTGCATCTTACTCTGTCCGCTGCTTCCTTTAACTTGGATGTGCTGTTGAGCTTTCCAAATTTGTAAATTATTGATTAGCTGATTGCGGGTTTAAAATCAAGCAGGCTCGTCCAGGGATTTCAATCAGTCCCAGGCAAAGCTTGGGCAAGAGCTGGCTTTTCTTCCTGGATCTATGTATCCCCCATATACCCTGATGAACTATCTCCGGATCTTCTCATCTATACCCATCATTGCCCACCCTCTCCAGGACTTTCCTCCTGGGCCATCTGCCCACAGAACCTCATGTCTGCTGCCCCCAACCCCAATGGCCCCTCACTTCCGGAAAGACCCTTCACTCTCCTTTCTGTCTACCACACTTCCCCTCCTTCAAATAAAAGCAGTTTTCCTAGACAAATTCCTGTTAACGTGTTCATGTGTCATTCTCCTTGGTAAAATATTGCAATTTAATGACAGGCTTTGATGATTTGACCAGATGAAGTTATTTTAATAGGAAGTGGGTTATCACAGCATGGTGGGAGGGGAGAGGCTTGCAGTTTATAAAGGGCTGTGGAGTTTTCGAAATACTTTCATCTCCGTTTTCTCATCAGTTTGATTTGTCAGCAAGGGGTTGGTGACGAAGGGGTTGGAGGATATATACTTATATTTTGGCAGGCTTGTAAAAAGCATGTGATGAGGCTGTAGAGAGGGTTAACCATATCACAGCATCTGCCTTTAATCAGCAGAGGGTGGTAACACTGCAAATTAAAACTGATTTTTAGATCATTCTAAGAGTTGACTTCCCTGGGAAGAAGCCAGGCTCCAGACTCATTGACAGGGAGACGGAAAAGGGAAACGTAGCTGATAATGTGAATCAGGATGACTAGGTAACTTGCTGGGGCTTCTTGGAATGATTACCCATCACTGCAGCCCCCAAGTGAACGGTGGACCAGCTCGAAAATCTGAGTTCTGGAGGAAGCCTAGGAAGTATGAGCTGGGAGAAAAGAAGTTGGCATTTTGCCTTGTGTGAAGGACAAGGCTGGGGAAGACAGCTCCCGGGCATCAAGCGGACACCGGAGGTGAGAAGGGAAAGGCTGACCAAGGTATTGCTATATTAGCCCCCCAGCTTGTGTCAAGGGAGCCGTCACAGGCTCAAATGGTTCTATGTCTAGTTGTTCACCATGTTCAATGAACTTCACAGATCCAGAAATCTTTATGTTGTGTGTATACACAGTTAATGGCCTTCACTTCTCCTGTATCTCCTTTCTGGCTTACATAATGTTTCCGTAAAGAACTTCCAGAAAAGTCATACCTACCTCAGCCGTGTTAAGAACAGACAAAGAAAACGGCTCTGGCCTCATTCGGGCTCGAGGGAAAATGGACATAGAGTGGGATTCCAGGAAGTCAGTGGAGAGGGCAGGGTCAAAGCAAGGGGGTCCTCCATAGGACACAGAGAGACCAGAGGGACCATGGCAGGGATGGCTTAGGCGCTTCTCCCTCTATCAGCATGTGACTTCCTTTTGACCCAGGCCTTGGTAATTTATTTTTAATTTTTAATTTGTATTTGTTAGAGAGCACAACCAGGGGAGGGGCAGAGGAAAAGAGAGAGAGAGGATTTTAAGCAGGCTCCATGCCCAGCACGGAGCCTGTTGTGGGGCTCAATCCCACGACCCTGGGATCATGAGCTGAGCCGAAATCAAGAGTCGGACCCTCAACCGACAGAGCCACCCAGGTGCTCCCCCCTTGGTGGATTTTACACTTGGTATGAATAAGTCTAGTTTGGATATTTCCTGGGAGTGCAGATGGCCCATTACTGGAAACACTAAGGATGCTGCAGAGGAGGTTCTGGCCACCCTTTCCTGCCCCCTCCCCTCACCCAGTTATCTGCTGAGAATTAACACCCGACGTCGGGAGGGTGCCTAAAAACAAGCGCACCAAACCGAACCCGATCCATCAACATCCTCTATATCCCCACGGAGCTTATTTTTAAGAAATACAGTCAAATTTTATCATAATCTTACTTCAAAATAAAAATGAATGATAAACAAATCTACCGCAACGACTCCAGCCTGAAAAATATCTAGTCATAGAGCTGCAAAATTTTTTTTTCCTCCTAACTGGTAAGTCGTTCCTCCCAGACACTGGTTGTAAATCTCTTTATAAACTGTGCCTTAAACCGTGATTTTATAAACTTTGAAGTGTCATCATACAGGCAAACTGTTATTATGATTACTAATGCAACAATTATAACTATAGAAATATTGTATTAGAGCTTTAGGCCATCATTTCTATTTTCATTTGGTTGCTTCTTCTAATTGAATATCATTTATTTTGATTCCATGTTAATTCCTATAGCTGACTACTGTGCCGTGTAATTTTTCTTATAACAGACTCATACATAGATTTAGCTCAAAATATCCGAAGTTTTTACGGCCGTTGTGGATCCTCCAACTTGCCTTTATTTTTTTAATTTTCAAACAATGTTTAATGTTTACTTACTTTTGAGAGAGAGACAGAGAGAGCATAAGCGGGGGAAGGGGCAGAGAGAGAGGGAGACACGGAATCTGAAGCAGACTCCAGGCTCGGGCTGTCAGCACAGAGCCCGATGCGGGACTCAAACCCGTCAACCGTGGGATCATGACCTGAGCCGAAGCCAGATGCTTAACCGATTGAGCCACCCAGGCATGCCCTCCAACTTGCCTTTAAAGACAAACAGTAATATTCATATATCTTAATTTATCCACCAGTAAAATGGAAATAGCGATAACTTATCTTTTCCCTTGTTTTCCTCCTTTTCAAGTGGTCTTACACAGTAGGAAGCTACTGTAAAGCTTTTTTTAAAAAATACAGCCGATCGATGCCTTTTCCCTAGCTCAGTTCTCGAGGTGCTTCTCAGGGTCAAGTATTGAACCTGGTCTATGTTTTCTGAAGAAAAAAGACAAGCAGCGGGAGCTTGATAGTCTGGGAGTCTGAGACGCCTCCTCTCTCCCTTGACCGAGGCAACAGAAAGGAAGGAAGCAACCTGGCTCCCATAGGCAGTTCTTAAGTGAAGCGACTCTTGGTTTTGTCTTTCTTCTTTGTATACTTTCTGAAGTGTTTTCACAGACATTCATCCTCATTATAGCACCATGAGATACACAGGCATTTCTGATTCCGTTTTTACAGCCTCGTGACTATAAGGTCCCACACTCATTTAGTAGTAGAATGGAGGCCAGAGGCTGGAGCCCAGAACTCGATACTCCCCGGGAGTTTCTGTATTAAGCACCTTTTCCAGCCTCAGTTTCCTCCCACTGAGGCTCTAGAGGTCTTGGCTTTCACGGAGCTTGTAGTAGAGTGGCTAACCTATGTTGTGTCTAGCTAGAGTCTTGGCACATAGCTGGTGTTCCATCAATGGTATCATTATAAGAATGATGTGAAAGTCATATTATTGGAGGGAGTCTGGAAGAGACTTGGCAGGGGACACTGGCTTTGGATGTCAAGTTGGCAGCACACCCCGAGGTCAACATTACCTTGCGCGTTTCTCATCTTCTGTACTCTGGTTGTCTTCCCCGCCCATCCCTCCTGGCTCCAGGTGGCTGCTCTGAGGACAATCTGGTAATTTCATGCAAGAGTAAAATATTCTTTCCCGTAATTACACAGAATTTAGCATCTTGGGTGAAAAAGTTTAGAGATTCCTTCTTCTCTCTGCAAAACATGACTGTGAGCGCAGAAATAAAGTTGCTCGTTGGTAGTTTATTCCCTCTCCTTTCCCTTTCTTTCTTCTTGCAGATAAATCAGCCTGTCCAAGGTGCAGTAGCCACCATGACCTCAGTATACTGATGATGGAAGAAAAGGAAACTGGGAGATCCTGTGCTCTAGCTTCCCTGGACGATGGATGGAGGACAGCCCGTCCCTTCACCCCTAGTGCCCCTTGAGAACGCATCATCAGATTCTAGCATGTCTCTGGAACAGAAGACCACATTTGTTTTTGTGATTTTGTTGTTCATTTTCTTGGGCATCCTCATTGTCAGGTGCTTCCGGATTCTTCTGGACCCGTATCGGAGCATGCCAACCTCGACTTGGGCTGATGGACTTGAAGGGCTGGAGAAGGGGCAGTTTGACCATGCCCTTGCTTAGCAGCGGGGGTGCTCCAGAGGAGGTGAAGTGCATCATGATTTGGCAAGGATTTCTCTTTAGCCAATATCCTGAACACACCAAGTTTCAACAACACCCGGTCGTAGGTCCACAATCCCTCCTTTATTAACCATGCCGGTGGGTTACAAAACATTTGAGGATATGGGGGATGAAGGTTTCTGACACTCGCCAAAAATAGGAAGGTTTGGATTTCTTTGTTTAATCAGCGAATGAGTACTTCTGAATACGTGTGATGGTGAAAGCAAGAGCACCAGCGCTGACATAAACTTTGCCATAAAATGAAGCACTCTCCCCCCTCAACCAGAGAATAAAGAACACAATGGCTCTGAAATGAATCTGGTCACGGGGCCACAAAGAGACTTCTTTGCTCTGAAGGTGTCTCTCAGTTTGCTTTACCATCGTGGGAATCGGGTCCCTGGCAGAGAGTAAGGAAGACTGTGCTGAGTGGACCGAAGGAGGTCCCCATTCTCTCCTTCAAAGCAGGCAGCTTTGGGGAGCAAACAGCGCAAACAGTTCAGCGCAAACAGTTCCATCCTAGAAAAGATGAGTGAGGATGAGCTCATTTTATTTCTCAAATACAACCGAAATCAAAGACTTGCGGAGGTTTGAAAACGCTTCACCAGGCCAAGTACACTCTAGGTATCTGTATTAATAACCTGTGTGGAGGGGTCGATACATAATGCGAATTTACTTTTTTCACCCACATGACTGAAATTCTGGGTTGCAAAGGCAGCTACGAGTCGTGTTTGCAAGCAAAAAGTTAGTTGTCTAGAAGAGAAGACTTTCACAGTCTTAAGAGGAATGTGTGTTTATGACTGAATAGGGAAGCCAAATAAAACTTTGCAAGAAACGGTAGCATCTCCTCTCCTATTTCACCGAGACGAATGCACTGGTGGCCACGTCTGAGACGGAATGCGGAGGACAGATAGTGTCCCGAGAGACAGAAAAAGCTGCAAGGTCATCGAGTTCAACCCTCTCGCATTTGAGAAAGGGCTCCCACAGATCGTCCTGCCTGCGTACAACCTGTACTAAGCACTATTTAAGACCCCAAAAAAGAGAGATGAGAAAACCTCTTATTCCAACTTCTATTGTAGGAAAACCTTGTACCTAAATGAAACTCCTGAAGCTGTATTTATAATCTATGTCTTCTAATTTTCTCCTCAGCTAGCCATCCAATTTTTTTTTTTATTAAAAAAAGAGTTAAAAAGGCCAACCATGCCTGAAAAGGCAGCCCTTAAAAAAACTGCTTTTTGTCTCCCCCCCTTTTTTTTTTTTAACATTCTTTGGAGGACCTGCTGTGCAGATTTCCCCCCTCCCCATGTTGCCTTTGACTTACAAATATTTGTTAGTTAATTTTTTAAAAATAATTCCTACACCCAACGTGGGGCTTGAACTCACAATCCAATATCAAGTGTCAGCTTTTCCAAATGAGCTAGCCAGGCACCCCTCTTGAATTAAAAAAATAAATTAAAAAAATAACAGCTTTATTGAAATATAATTCACAGGCCATAAAATTTACACTTTTAAAGGGTACAATTCAGAGGCTTTTAGATGCTTCCCAGAGTTGTGTGACCATTACCACTGTCTAACTCTGGAATTCTACACCCACTAGCAGTGACTTCCCATCCCCTTCCACCCAGCCCGTGGCAATCTTGAATCCACTTTCTATCTCTATGGGTTTGCCCATTCTGGACATTTTATACAAACGGAATTATAGAATATGTGGCCTTTGGTGTGTGGCTTCTCTCACTTAGCATGTGTTCAAGGCAGGTTCATGTTGTAGCGTTCCTTTGCATGGCCAAATAATATTCCATTGTTTGGCTATACCTTGTTTTGTCGGTCCATCCGCTGTCGTGGTTATCCATTGGCCAGTCTGGAGAATGCTGCTGTGAACAACTGTATAAAGTCTTTGTATGTTTTCAAGCCCATGTTTTCAGGTCTCTTGAGTATATTCCTAGGAATGGATTTGCTGGGTCAAATGCTAACTCTTTTTGAAGAATCTGAGACTGTTTCCCAGAGGGGCTACATCATTGTACATCCCCACCAGCAACTTTTGATTCTTAACTCTCTCCAACTACTTAAATTTCGTCTTTAGCTGTAGATTTTATAATTGAACACACCACTTCAAGAATGAGTCCGATTCAAAAGAGAGTACCACCCTGTGATACCTACATGCTGGTAGTTTCCTGACGCCTCCAAAGATCCTTTGCTGTTAGATCTAAAGTAGAACGCTGATGCCAATCTGTAGTCATCCCAGGGTCTACTGTGTCACCTGAATATTTTTTTTTGTTTTACGAATGCATATTTCTTTAACCCACTAATTATAATGTTGTTTTTTTTAATTCAAATGTACCCATGTCACATATGTCCCTAGCCGATTTTTTCCAGTTTAATGGGAGTCTATTTAAACCCGTTCAAGTAGCAGGACACCTGGGTGGCTTAGTCAGTTGAGCATTTGACTTCGTCCCAGGTCGTGATCTCGTGGTTCGTGGGTTTGAGCCCTGCATCAGGCTCTGCAGTGACAGTTCAGAGCCTGGAGCCTCCTTTGGATTTTGTGTCTCCCTCTCTCTCTCTCTCTCTCTCTGCCTCTCCCCTGCTTACGCTCTGTCTCTCTGTCAACAATAAATAAATATTAAAAAAAAAAAACCACACTCCTTCAAGTATTTATTTAAGCGCCTGCTTTGAGCCTGGCATTTCTAGCACTGGAGAAACAGGAAAAGTACAGGGCAATTTCTTGCTCTTGAGTACCTGTCAGTCTTGGTGGAAACGTAAGAAATGAAAGAAGGCATGTGTCTGAATTCTCATTCAAATGACTGCTATGGACCTATGGTTCCCACACTATCAAATTCATCTGGGACTTTAAAAAATATATATGCCCCCCACACGAATTGTTCTTATAAAAGTTGTACATGATCATGATAAAAAAATGTGTAAACATCATGGAGAAATATAAAGTAAATATTCATAGTCAAAATTCTGCCTCCTTAGGGTTACTCTTAACTCCAGTTTTTCCAGGGGGGAGCTTGTTGAAAATGTAGATGACTACAGCCTTCCATCCCTAAAGTTTGATTCTATAGAACTGGTTCAGTGAACAAATACTTCAAGAAACAGAACATGGGACAGATGGATGTGGGTCAAGATAATGAGGGAAATATCCTAGTGGGACTCAAGTGTGATGGTCCACGTTTCAATGTTGGCTGTAAAGCTTTACGCAATGGGAGTGATTGTGATGAAATAAATTATATCTTGACCTAACAGGATGGAGATGTTTTGGGCATATGCGAAGGAGGAGAGGAGGGAAAACAATAGAGTAAAGGAAGAGAGGGGCTGGTGTGGAGCTTGCAGCCAGGAGGGCAGACTGGCTGGGGAAGGTGGAAGGTGGTTGGGGGTTTGCCGGAACTTGTGTAGAAAGGATAAAGGTGGACCGGAACAGCAGGGCATCCTTAAAAGCAAAATGCAGTGTGGGAGTCAGTGCAGATTGGTGAGAAAGAAAATGACATGAAGAGTGGCTGTCATTTCGAGTTTCCGCACCCTTCCTCAGGGCAGCATCGGGATGGGCTTCTATAATGGGAACAGACCGAAATAGCCACCTGGCCTCTGCGGCTCTGAGCCCGGGATTGCCAGTAAGTGCCACGGGGCCTCCGGAAGCATGCTTTTCTTCCCTTCTTCCCTTCATTGCTCACTCCACTTTTGTTTCCCCTTCTCAGATTACTGTTCCTTGTTCATCGTGCCCTCACTGGGTCTCCCCTGCTCCTCCCCTCTCTTGGTGAGAGCAAGAGTATCCTAGCAAGTGATCACAAGCTTCGGGCTATTTGGAGTAAATCGATCCCTTCCGTGAGAAGTGCTAACTCTCTGTTTTAATTACTCACAGCTCCTTGGGGTGAACAGTGTATTCTCGAAAGGTCACATAAGCCCTCTCTTTCCCAGCTTTCTGGCTTCCGGAGTCACAGTGCAGCATTTTGCCTACCTTACAAGATATTTATAACAAGTGCAGCTGCCCTCTACCTTGTATATCCGCATCCCAGGATGAACACATTACTTTCCCAAGGTCACTCTAGAGGAGAGCTACGTCTGGATTCAGAAAGATGTGGCAAACTCATTGTCAGTCTAAGCTCTGCCTGGTTAATGCCCCCAGGAGACCCCAAGTTCTAGATCAAAAGTGCTCCCTCCAAGAGACCTTTTTTAAATATCTTAAGCACTGAGTAAAGTAAGTCTAACATGGGGTGTGAAGCAGATTAACTTGACTCCTGCTGTTAAAGTAATGAACATTCCAATCCAGATCATTCTTTCACTATTTTTAAGGGTTAAAGCTGAAACAAAATAAGCAACAGTTTTAGGAGGCAGAAGTTGGAACAGATGCTTATGTATGTAGGAAAAAATATGCATTTAAGTTCCTTTTTTATTGGCTTCATTGCACAGTGTTTTATTGAAAACCTGAAGCTTTCATATTGTAAATGTATTGGTGAATTTGGTGAGGTGTGAAATTTTATTTGTCCACCATAAGTCATTAAAAGAAAAGGATAGTTAAGCTGTCAACTTTCAAACCTGACATGTAAAACATATTGAGACACAATTATTTTCAAAGATATTTTAGTCCCCAAACCCTGAATAAATTCTGAGATCTGATTTGTGATATTTGAAGTGTGTGTCTTGTGAGACAAATTATGCACAGGAGTGGGAGGGGGAGGCTCAATTGTGGAGGAATCTCAAAGTTGTAGAGTAGAGCCCTTATCTCCAAAGTGCTCAAATCAGTAAACGTGTAGCTGTTATCTCGGATCAAACTAATCCATGCCGGAAAAAGTCATTTGCTTGCTGTGAGGTATAAAAGAAGGACACTATAAACTCTGTATCTCTTGTTTTTTTGTTTTTTGATGTTTATTCATTTTTGAGAGACAGAGACACAGTGCAAGTGGGGGAGGGGCAGAGAGAGAGGGAGACACAGAATCTGAAGCAGGCTCCAGACTCCGAGCTGCCAGCCCACA